GTATCGCTACTTAAATATGTAGCGGGCGCTACCGCTACCGCTACATTGCCTTAAATGTAGAGCCGCTACCGCTACCGCTACTGAAAATGTAGCGGCCGCTAGTAGCGGCCGCTACATGTAGCGCGCTACTGTCACCTCTGTTGAAATCACAAAACACAATTAGAACCTAAATTTACAAGTAAAAGGGCATAAAAACCTATCTATTCACAATTTCAAGGTACTCCGGTACTTTAGATTTGCGTATCCTGGAATCATTGTACATTTTTAGGCTTAGGCCCAGTTTAAATTCAGCTGTGAGCTCCTATCCCCTTGAAATTGTGAATAGATAGGTTTTTATGCCCTATTACTTGTAAATTTAGGTTCTAATTGTGTTCTGTGCTTTCAATTGTATTAACTTGTGACTTTCTATGTATATTCTAGATTCTACGAACTGACGATGGAGCTGGACTCCGAAACGTTTTCTATAAAGATATGAATTTTTGTGGATAATTCCTTGCTTTTAAATTTTTAGTCAACTTGCGATTTAAGCAAATAAGTGACATTAATACTCATAAATTTTAATTTGAAATGTCCGTAGAAATCGGAATTTTCTATGAACTTCTAGAAAAAACTTATTCCAGCGCAAGCTTATTTGAATAGATAAAACACGAACCCGAAAACGATAAATCACGCAAGAGAAAAACAACAACGACCATGCCTGGGATAATAATGAAAAATTATAAATTTGAATAATTTGATTTGAGACTATTATTTCAATGGGCAAACCCTATAATTTTATACATCGGCAACGTATTAACACATCTCTGACATTCTAGGATGCTTGAAATTTTGACAAATTTTCAAGTAAAGGAGTCGGTAATGTTGTTTATGTTAACGAAGATGGGCAGGGTTGTCCATCATTCCATCAAGGACTGGGGGCAGGGTTGTCCATCATTCCATCAAGCACTGGGGGCAGGGTTGTCCATCATTCCATCAAGCACTGGGGGCAGGGTTGTCCATCATTCCATCAAGCACTGGGGGCAGGGTTGTCCATCATCCCATCAAGGACTGCAGGGGCAGGATTGTTCTTCATCCCATCAAGGACTGGGGGCAGGGTGTTCCACCATTCCATCAAGCACTGGGGGCAGGGTTGTCCATCATTCCATCAAGCACTGGAGGCAAGGTTGTCCATCATTACATCAAGCACTGTGGGCAGGGTTGTCCATCATTCCATCAAGCACTGGAGGCAGGGTTGTCCATCATTCCATCAAGCACTGGAGGCAGGGTTGTCCATCATTCCATCAAGCACTGGAGGCAGGGTTGTCCATCATTACATCAAGCACTGGAGGCAAGGTTGTCCATCATTACATCAAGCACTGGAGGCAAGGTTGTCAATCATTCCATCAAGCACTGGGAGCAGGGTTGTTCATCATTCCATCCAGCACTGGGGGCAGGGTTGCCCTTGCTTGTTATCTCGCACCACAAACAGTCCAGGGAAGTGCACTCGACTACACGGCACTAGTTTTTGTCAGTGCACCAGACCTCTACACTGCACCAGCCCCTCCACTGCACCAGCCCCTCCAGAGCACCAGCCTTTTCCACTACACCAGCCAATATCCACTGCACCAGCCTTCTCCACTGCACCAGCCCCTCCAGTGCACCCGCCTTCTCCCCTACACAAGCCCCCTCCACTGCACCAGCCTCCTCCACTGCACCAGCCTTCTCCACTGCACCAGCCCCCTCCACTTCGCCAGCCTCCTCCAGTGCACCAGCCCCCTCAAGTGCACCAGCCTCCTCCACTGCACCAGCCTCCTCCAGTGCACCAGCCCCTTTCACTGCACCAGCCCCCTCCAGTGCACCAGCCCCTCCAGTGCACCAGCCTCTCCAGGGCACCAACCCCTCCAGTGCACCAGCCCCCTAAAGTGCACCAGCCCCTCCAATGCACCAGCATCTCCAGTGCACCAGCATTTCCACTGAACCAGCCTCCTCCAGTGCACCAGCCCCTCCATTGCACCAGCCCCCTTCACTGCACCAGCCCCCTCCAGTGCACCAGCATCTCCAGTGCACCAGTCCCTCCACTGCACCAGCCTCCTCCAGTGCACCAGCATCTCCAGTGCACCAGCCCCTCCACTGCACCAGCCTCCTCCAGTGCACCAGCATCTCCAGTGCACCAGCCCATCCAGTGCAACAACCCCTCCAGTGCACCAGCCCCTCCAGCGCACCAGCCCCTCCACTGCACCAGCCTCCTCCAGTGCACCAGCCCCTCCATTGCACCAGCCCCTCCAGTGCACCAGCCCCTCCAGTGCACCAGCCCCTTCAGTGCACCAGCCCCTCCACTGCACCAGCCCCTCCATTGCACCAGCCTCCTCCAGTGCACCAGCCCCCTCCACTGCACCAGCCTCCTCCACTGCATCAGCCCCCTCCACTCCACCAGCCACCTTCACTGCACCAGCTTTCTCCACTGCACCAGCACCCTCCACTGCACCAACCCCTCCACTGCACCAGCCTCCTTCACTGCACCAGCACCCTCCACTGCACCAGCCCCCACCACTGCACCAGCCCCCTCCACTGCACCAGCCTCCTCCAGTTCACCAGCCTCCTGCAGTGCACCATCCCCTCCACTGCACCAGCTTCCTCCGGTGCACCAGCCTCCTTCAGTGCACCAGCCTCCTCCAGTGCACCAGCCTCCTCCATTACACCAACCTCCTCCAGTGCACCAGCCTCCTCCACTGCACTAGCCTCCTCCTGTGCACCAGCCCCCTCCAGTGCACCAGCCTCCTCCAGTGCACCAGTCCCTCCAGTGCACCAGCCCCTCCAGTGTACCAGCCCCTCCAGTGCACCAGCCCCTCCAGTGCACCAGCCCCCTCAAGTGCACCAGCCCCTCCAGTGCGCCGGCATCTCCAGTGCACCAGCCCCTCCACTGCACCAGCCTCCTCCAGTGCACCAGCATCTCTAGTGCACCAGCCCCTCCAGTGCACCAACCCCTCCAGTGCACCAGCTCCTCCAGTGCACCAGCCCCTCTAGGGCACCAGCCTCTCCAGTGCACCAGCATCTCCAGTGCACCAGCAGCTCCAGTGCACAAGCCCCTCCACAGCTCCAGCCTCCTCCAGTGCACCAGCATCTCCAGTGCACCAGCCCCTCCAGTGCACCAACCCCTCCAGTGCACCAGCCTCTCCAGTGCACCAGCCTCCTCAAGTGCACCATCCCCTCCAGAGCACCAGCATCCCCAGTGCACCAGCCCCTCCTCTGCACCAGCCTCCTCCAGTGCACCAGCATCTCCAGTGCACCAGCCCCTCCAGTGTACCAGCCCCTCCAGTGCACCAGCCCCTCCAGTGCACCAGCCCCCTCAAGTGCACCAGCCCCTCCAGTGCGCCGGCATCTCCAGTGCACCAGCCCCTCCACTGCACCAGCCTCCTCCAGTGCACCAGCATCTCTAGTGCACCAGCCCCTCCAGTGCACCAACCCCTCCAGTGCACCAGCTCCTCCAGTGCACCAGCCCCTCTAGGGCACCAGCCTCTCCAGTGCACCAGCATCTCCAGTGCACCAGCCCCTCCAGTGCACAAGCCCCTCCACAGCTCCAGCCTCCTCCAGTGCACCAGCATCTCCAGTGCACCAGCCCCTCCAGTGCACCAACCCCTCCAGTGCACCAGCCCCTCCAGTGACCAGCCCCTCCTCTGCACCAGCCTCCTCCAGTGCACCAGCATCTCCAGTGCACCAGCCCCTCCAGTGCACCAACCCCTCCAGTGCACCAGCCCCTCCAGTGCACCAGCCCCCTCAAGTGCACCAGCCCCTCCAGTGCACCATCATCTCCAGTGCACCAGCCCCTCCAGTGCACCAGCCCCTAAACTGCACCAGCCTCCACCAGTGCACCAGCATCCTCCACTGCACCAGCCCCCTCCACTGGAGAAGGCCCCCTAGTTGCACCAGCCCCCTAGTTCTTGGAGAAGGAGGGATGACCTAGCTACTCCAGGGAGTTTCCCAAGCGTATGGGACCGGGACGCACGCGGGGAGCCAGAGATTACCTACGGCGCTTTTTTAGAAATAAGGTATCAGCTGGATATGATTCAACTCCAGATGCAGGAGCTGCTGGGCCAGAGGCGCCAGGCAGAGTGGTGGAGACGCAGTTAAGCGCACCAAGAAGGGAAGAGTCTGGCATTCTGCTGGCCAACATCGAGGGGCTCTTCCCACTGAGAGCGCGTCACAAGATTGGCGTGCTGCGCGAGATAGCCGACGAGGGTGGGATCTTTATGATTGCACTAACGGAGTCGCAAGTCTCCTCCACAGCACCACTGGTCTATTGCAGTGCAGACCTCAGTGAATCCACAGGTGGGTACAGTGGCAACAGCACTATACTGCAGTGCTGGTGCAGGTATTAACTAAAATCAACGGATTATTATATGATAAATTTTACGCAATGTAAAGTATTTTTCAAGATTCTGCTCAATCAAGAAAAAGTATTGAGAAATGTGCTCATACCTAATAATCGTATACTTTACCCCATGGCCACTGATTGCCTAGCGAATTGCAATGTCAATGTCAGTTTTTTTTTGTTTATTTAATAACGATGTCCAAGAATTGTTCATAGGCTAACACGACGAAAAGGATAGCATGCTTGCTGCTATTATACATGGAACAGAATAGCAAATTAATAACAAAACAGGGCTAATTACTATTAAACAGTACTACTGTTACTACTACTAACAGAAACATCGAATTACTGGTGTAATGTCAAAGTTGACGAGTAAATTTTTAGTTTCAGTCTAAATGTTTCGTTCTTTGCAAAAAAACAATTACGACTAACTTGATTGGAAACGCAGTTTGATGAATTTTTGGTTTGATGGATTTTTAAAGTTTTCCTTTGTAAGGCATGATTTAAGAGTTAAGACCAATAACTAGTGATAAATGTGAATGTAAAAGATGCGAAAGAGAAATTGTTGACATTTGAAGGAGTTGTTGATGAATATTTATCAACAGTTCGTACTATCAACACCAAATTTAATACAAATGTATACTTGCCATCAAATGGTCATTTTCTAATTATGTGACTAGAAGAGTTCCAGTTCGATATATTCGCATGGCTATTATTGGAGGGAACAGTTACCCGGTGGCTTATTAGGCCTATTTTAGGCCGATTAAAAATATCCTAAAGCTCTTTAAATTATTTTATGCTCATTTATTGCATTCATTTAAACTTTTTACAGTGGAATTCCGACAAATTCGGTATAATGTGGCTTGAATAAAAGTGTAATATGAATATATAACCACACAAAAAGCCATTATTACCTTAAATATAAATATAAATCATATGAGGCTAAGTCTCCCTCCATGTCCCTAAAACACCCCGACGCCTTTGCTGTAACCCATGTTACTTGTGTTGCACTACAGGATTAATGGCCCACTTCAGATTATCAACGCAACGCCGCTGTGTAACCCATGTTACTTGTGTTGCACTACAGGATTAATGGCCCACTTCAGATTATCAAGGCAATGAAATATCATAATCAGTTCTAACTAGAGCGTTGCAAACCTTCACTTTGCTCCATAATTATTAATGTGTAAGTGTATTCGAGCCGTCGTAATACTATAGCGAAATGTATTTTGGAAACTTCTTATTCACATCATACAGTTTAATTTATCAATATTCCTAAAAAATGAAAACAGGCAGAAAAGTATTTAAATTAAACACTTTGTCAGCAGAATATTTTCCCCTCTTGTTTACATAGGACCATTGATCACCCACTCCACTCCTGATATATCGGACATCATATCATATCATATCATATCATATCATATCATATCATATCATATCATATCATATCATATCATGTCATATCAAATCATATCATATCATATCATATCATATCATATCATATCATATCATATCATATCATATCATATCATATCATATCATATCATATCATATTTAGAGTCGCGCACACTTAAGCCTAACCCTCGCACATTCCTTCGAATGGAATTTCCCTCGCAACGCTGAGCGCCAACCTTTCAATGTAAACAACCTTTCCCACGGTCTCGCAATAACAGCGCCGCATTCTTAGCATTCTTAACATCTATGCATAATACATGTTCAATATTACCTACTGTCAATATTACCTACTTTATTCAAGATGGGGGAATGAGGATTCCTTCTTCACAAGGGACAGCTTTTTATTGAGGTCCTCCTTCCAATCTGCGGCCTCCGCGTATTTCTCGTGCGTGAGTGCAGTGAAGGCGCGTCTGAAGATGAGGAGGTCGTCCTGGGTGGTCTCAGGTTTAAATAGGCGGCAGCTGGCGAACAGATCCTTGCCAGCGATGGCGGCGTTATCGTTAGCTGGTCTGAACAATTTCGTGTTTCTGACCTGCTTCGTCTTGAAGCTTGCTCTATTGTATAATACGCCGTCAATGCGCCACGCCTATTAAAATTTTAATAAACGACATGGTTTGAAACAGGGAAAACTTCCCGCACCCTTCGGCATGCGGGAAGCTGATCCAAGTTTGGAGCGTGAATGAGTATCGGAGACGAAGCATACCGACAATCTATTGACGATAAATGAATCTGAATGATGGCCGGCGGCAAAGCGCATCGGCAGTCTATTTAGACTGAATTTTAAAATAAGGCGCGGGATCGCGGGAAGCGATCCCCGGTAATGATTCCTGCCAGAGTGGCGGGAAAACTGAATCTGAATGACAGCCGGCGACGAAGCGCATAGGCAGTCTATTCAGATCGAATTTAAAATTAAGGCGCGGGATCGCGGGAAGCGATCCAGCCGGTAATGATTCCCGCCATATTAGCGGGAAAACTGAATCTGAATGACCGCCGGCGACAAAGCGCATCGGCAGTCTATTTAGATTGAGTTTAAAAATAAGGTGCGGGATCGCGGGAAGCGATCCCGCTGGTAATGATTCCCGCCAGAGTGGCGGGAAAACTGAATCTGAATGACCGTCGGCGACAAAGCGCATAGGCAGTCTATTCAGATCCTGTCTCTTATACACATCTAGATGTGTATAAGAGACAGGAGCACACTCGTGCACACTTGTGCACACTCGTGCACTCTCGTGCGCACCGTTCGTGCACACTCGTGCACACTCGTGCACNTCGCCCTACGACAGCATAGCTAACGGGCTCGTCAGCGGCTGAGCGAAACGGGCTAAGGCTATTTTGTGCAGTGCTTATGCAAGTAAAATGAACCTTATTAAGTAATCACTGGCGGAGCAAGAAAGTAATGTCACTGAGTCACCGGGATCACGCCCAGCGTGAGTCAGCCGGGATCACGCCCAGCGTGAGTCGCTCCCGCACACAAGCGCGAAACCAAACACTTCACTCGCGCAAATGTAAACAGTTATTAGAACAGTGGTTACTTAATTTAACACATAGCATTTTGAAGGCGATTGCCTTACAATTATCAAATGATAATTGCATAAAAAGGTGTTACTAAAACTCACACGGTGATACACACAGAAGATGGTGATGCAAAGTAGTCACCAGAGGAGCTGCGCAGCAGCTCGAGCGGGTGCGTATCAGCGATTGAGACTGCACGCAAGCTACGGCCACACCATAGCTTCGGCTCAAGGTCAACGGAAGAAAAGCAATGGCGACAATCATCATCGCAGAGCTTTCATCCTTTTTCTTTACCGATACGATTAAATTCGAAGAAGAAACAATCCAAAGATCAAATAGAGCTTTCAACTTGTTAAAA